GTATACAGAATCACTTTGTTATTTTGTTCCGTGTTGCTCCTTTCCTCGTGACTTACTACAGGAGGTAATCCAAACCAAAACTAACTTTTATTTATACTCGATGGTTTTTTTGCATTTCCTTTTTATGGGCTTGTTTGCCTCAATTAAGGAACAAGGAAACTTAGAAACACGAACCATGCACATGAAGTGACAAAGTCGAAGGCACACAATATTAACACACTTTGGTGCATGGTAAACTGATCATTTTAATTCTAATACAACAAAAACACGCATAATGCTTTAAACAAACTTCCACATACAGTGGTTAGGAAAATACAAAATCAAATCTAAACCATATCAAAACAAACAAATCTTGTATTTTATGAAGAGAAAAACTTAGTCATTAATTAAAACGGTAGATGACTTTAGATATAATGACAAACAGACAGACGACAAAACAAATGTTTTATTTCATAAAAACAAGCTTTAAGCATCTTGAATAATGCATAAGGAAGTGTTTACTATGATTTATCATGTCGAAACATCCATAAACACAACCATCCATGCGACCACATTAATCATGAAGTACATTAAACCGTGAATATACTTGCTATAGGAACTCAAATTGACTCGTGACTGCGCCCCGCGCTGGGGGAAACATAGTCAAGTTTACCAGCACAAAAAAATGGACCACCAACTAATCTTAATGAATGAATGAATTTGCTTTAAGCGTTTTGTGCTGTGCATCGTTTTTGGTGCAGCTTGCAAACCTGTGAATATTTGAGAGCGGATCTACTCAAGAGGCTAAACCACGGGAAACAAGCCACTTCTACCACTAATATAGATCTGTCGAGTGTGACAACATTTTGCACAAAAAAATAGTGTAGGAATATAATTGTTTGTTGCTTTAAGCTCTGTCATTTAATAACTGAGTTAAAATTTTCATGATAAACAGATTTTGCTAAGCAGTCTAGCACACCTTGAACATTTTGCCACTGGTTATTCAATTTTGGCTTAATCTCGTGCATGCAGCAGTCTCATCTAGTTTTGGCCTGCAATTTCAAGTCCAATTCAGCCTAATCAACTGTGGTTGAAGCGCCTGCTGTGGCTCGATAAACCCGGAAACAGGGCGAAATCTCTGAATCCGATGTTCGAAAGGACACAAACAGGAAAAACGGTGCAAATAAATTGGTTTAGCATGTGCGTATATTCATTGTGTTGGCTGATAGATTAACTCTTAATACGTTCTTGGCTTACTTGCCATATAATGAGTTGAAAATGACCCTTATGGGGGCGTGCAGTTTTCTCAAACACCAAAACAAAACCACAAACGAATAAATTTAGTCCAAAATAAAGGCTGCAGTAAATCTAGGCGTACACACATATGAGTTTGTACATTTTATTGATTTCGCATCGAAATAATAAGAGTCTGCATCCGTGAGTTAAATATAGTCTCACGTCTCGGATAACTATTGCCGCCCCCCATATATTACTGGTATAATGAAATGCGATTCTATGTTTACGGCAATCCGACGCCAAATATAATGCACACCTTTGTACGAATCCAGTAGCCCACGTAGAATTGTCATAAAATTTACCCTTTGGCATTGAATTAAGCTTACGCGTGGACGCAATATATGCGAAGTCGAGACTTTATGCATTCGCGCACGCTGTCGTGATCTGCACACGTTTCAGCATTCGACGCCAATTTTCCCCTGAAGGCGTTACTTTATAATATTGAAGAAATTTTACCCCACCTCCTCCACGATAACTATATAATAATATTTCAGCAATATTACAATATGATTTCACATACCTTTTGTATATCGTGTAAGTCTGTTTTTCTTCAACTGAATAGATTTCGCTCGCTGATACAAATCCGACCCGAAGAATCAAGCGGCTGATTTGGACTTAATGATGGAACAAGCGGTACAATGACCCTTATATGAAAGGCGGCTTTAGCTTTACTTCCTGTTCAGTAACAAAAGTGTAAGCTTACACTCTTAAAAGCCCGTAATCCTTTAAGCACTATGAATTGAGTCAGCCTGTGTGACACCCTTGATGAAACACACAAATGTTCTAGCCCTAAATTTCTCTACAACACTTTTGAATGATCTATATGCTATTTTAGCGCGCTTACTGGGCTCGCAGCTCAATATCTGGAAAACATTGAATTATGTGTCATATTTTTGAGTTGCATGACGGATCCATAACCGACTTCTCAGCCACAATAAACACATCAATGTTTCCGGTTTAGACATTATTCTCTTGCTTCCTATTTTCTAAATTTGCATACTGCAAAGCTATTGGTTCATTGCCCTGTTTTTAACTCCCACACTTAAATGATATTTAATATATAGAGTTTGAAATCACTGTCGGGCGTGTTTATGCGCTTTTTGAAAACCTTCCCCTTAAATATACCCTATGCCCTTGTAATCATGTTTCATCAAGTAAAATCCGATTTGTGACGAGATATAGAGGTTAAAGTTTAAGTTTTGCTTAGCCTTACGTGTGCAGGCTTTCTTCCGCGCTCTAGAAGGTTCTGTCGCTATGTTATCATAAACAGTTACATAAACTTGTTTTCGAGTTAGCATTGTTCGGGTATAATTCTGAACTTTTCGTTCGTTTTTTCAACGTTTAGCAGGTATTTAAACATTACATGTTGTTATGTTAGTGGGTTAAGGGCCTCAAAAATACAATTACAAAACCGGGGTAAGGCGAAGTTGTTTTGTTGTGTTTCATGCTTTAAGAAGCGTGACGTATATTCTGTATATTGAGGAAACAATTATTGGCGATAAGACAAGATAATTTTGCATATTGTTTACGACAAGGAGGAACTCCGGTGTCTACTTCCGAAAAACAACGTTGTTTTTAACTTTTATTATTACGCATTTAGCTTTTTTCTTCGTGATTTCCCCCGTGCTTATGGTCGGAACTGTGTAAAGGCAGCGACTTTCGTATTTGGATAAAGAATACTACAGAAAGAGAATTTTGGCAGGACATTGTCATTGAATAGTACATGTGCTTTCACCTCTAGATGCGAAGACTGTTCGCGGCGTGCATTTCCGTCTTCATCACACGTGTGAGAGTGCTTCCAGTTTCACTGAGTTATATATAGGAAGCAAGACTGAAGACTAAAGTAATCGGTATATTCTATCATTTTAGTTGGTTTGTCTTGCTGTGATGCCTAAAACTTGGTCTGCACGAATCGTAATTTATCGAATTTATTAACCAATAGCCACCGACGATGGAATTGTGGAAATCCCCGATTCTTACGAAAGAGTGGGAGTACTGTACATGTTTCTAAGGAAAGTGGCCATTGTACTCGATTTTCCAATGGCAACAGACAAAGTCTTTATACTCTAATAATCGCAGTCTCTGAGAATTATCGCGCGGATACTTTCTCACAAGTGTCAAGAAGCAGACTTTAAAATATAAAGCCAATTTTTTACGTACTTGCGATCCTATTGTCTTAGGTGTATAACGAAATGAAAATATAACTCCGTGAAAAACGACTTGTAACCTGATTCGCTTGCGGCACAAGTGTGTGGGACTACTTCTAGGTCGCTATAAAAAATGCAGTTGAGGCATTTATGTGTGGAGCCGAATTAAGATGTTTTGAAGATAAAATGCCTAAATGATAATTTTTAAATGATAATGTACACTTCAATGACTCAAGTCCCAACACAAGCGGTGTCGAAAAAAGCAACTTTTCGCCACTTGAATTTTTAGCAATTGCGTGGTCTTAGATTAATGGCGTCGACCTAATATTATATAAACTTGCGTCATGACATACGTTTTTACCCTACAAAAGACTTGTTGACCAATATTATAGTTTGACTTCAGCCTGTTGTGGAGTAGATTCCCTCCTGTATTGTTGTATACCTGGATAGCCCTTCATCTCAAGAACCAAAAAGCATTTCCAACTTATTTCTCTGACCAATCTCTAGGCCGGACTATTTGAACTATAGCTATATGTAGTATAAGAACAGTTCAGATAGAAAAAGCTTTTCAACGAGTAAACAAAGTTACCGAGCTGATATCGAAAACACCGTGGGAGTTCAAGGCGATTGCAGAATTATCCCAATGAATATGCAAATCTCAAGAAGTCATTTATAATTAAAAGTTCAGCAATTCTTCAGATTTGAGGGAATAAGGGTTGACAACTGGCGATAAGACTATATCTAGCCTACTGCCAATACAATGACTATATTGCCCGCACCTATTGTTCGGATTTCAATCACCCTGATTTAAATTTTGTTGAAAGTTCATCTGTATATTACGCTGAAATATTCACGTAGTTTTACGGAAAACCCCTCACTCCAGTCTTAGTTCGAGTCAAGATATAGGATTCCAATTACCGGGAGTTAAAGTTTGCACTTAAGAACCTAGAGCTTAATATAGAGATTGTAGTTTTGTATTTTATACTTGCAATGTTTTCAAAGGCCAAATCATAATACCTAAGCCTATATATTGTGATGTGACTGAGTGTAACTATATAAACATATCCGACATTAGACAGTGGCATCACACAGCGTCATGATGGCCAAGGCCTAGAATAATGGATCTAAATTATATATAGTCAAAGAAATCTACACTTATTGCGCCATTTTGAGAAACTCAGTCTGTTTAACAACAGCGAGTATTTTCGAGTTATAAATCAATCACTTCAACCATGTTGTTCGAACTCATACTTATACAATCACAAGAAAGTGAACAAGTCAACGCAAAGGCTAACAAAAATAAGACCAAGTATACAAATGTATGAAATGCTGGTATTTTAAATTCTAGGCAAATTGGTTGGAACGATACTGATCTTTCAAAGTTTGATCAGTGCATGTCAGCGTTTTATCCGAAGGGCGGGGCCTTTCTTTAAAGGGGCCTTTACCGGGTCTACACATGCAAGAACCACGTTCAGGTTAAAGTTGATATTTACGGCCCATTACCACGATACGATAAATTGCACACGCAATATATGATAACAATAATCACGTGTACAAACTTCAACCAAAAACGTATCGTGTAGTAACTGGGGCATTTTATTGTACAACATTGTTGATCTAAAATAGGTTTTTACATTAAATCCCACAATAAAGGAACTTTCTATATGGGTATTATTATATATAACATGAACAGTTTCGGAGTATCTTCCTGATCGCCAGGAATGTTTCTCTCTACATATTTACAAATATGAAATATTTCACTACCTAGGTCACCTAGTTTTATCCGTGCTTTTACGATTTTTCATTGTGCGAGCGCTTGGATTTGTTGGAGCCGAAGAGCTCTGCGTTGGTTGCATGTAACTTGGTATTTTTTTCTTGCCTGAGTTTTCGCGACTCGGTAAAGTATGTAACTGTGAAGTTGAGCTCGCTTTCCCTATCCGTGACGATGAATGCTAAAGATGAATGATCGAATCTCAGATCCAATCAAGAATATAGCGACTGTATATTCATCACTTTGCTATACACTCAATTCAATAAAGGGTTGTCCTAAGTTTCAAAACTGCAAGCTTGAAGTCTGAGCGCGAAAGGGATAATCGGTTGTGAGCTACAATATTTCAAGTAAAAAAATGCCGTCGGAGCAAGTAGGTTTTCATCGATCGAGTAACTCAGCTAGACGGGTGATTTTTGACGGCGGTTTTCTCTTTCTAGTGTATGCTATTTAGTGAATCATATGTACACAGTGTTATAATTTTGCCAACGTAAAATAATCAATTCTGTTAAATTTACTCAATATAGAGAGGTGTATATTCACAGACACTACTTACCCCTGGCGACTTCTTCCGATCTTTTGTTTCTTTTTTTAAGCTAGTTTTTGATGGCGAATTCTTCATCTCCTAATAATGATGATATCATTTACTCATTTACCGCTGTTCTTCCAAAAACACTTCTCGCCTGTTCAAAATTTTAATCTTACATTATTTTGTTCAATAACATCGACAGGCTTCTCTTGAGAATCTGTGAGCTTCGTCTCCTCAATATTATTGTTATGGTTGCTTGGATTCATCTGCAATTATGTTAACGAGTTACTTTTCCTTGCGTAATACTAATACATGCAATATACTTAACTTATTATTTTCCACATTTTACAATGTTTTGAAATAAAACTTTCAAGTTTTAAGGCCTACTTAAAGCTAAAATGTTTTGACCCATATACATCAATACATGTAATTGCCGTTGCTTTTCTAGGTTGATATAGTGTCTATAGTACTAGTTTGAGCCTGGTGGAATTCCTAAATGTATACGCATAGCAGCTCTGAGAAGATGAAACAACTAGACGGTGTAAGACAGCTAGAAGCATATAAAGGCGACAGCTATATGGGCCTGACACAACGATAACATATGGTGCAGCTAGGCCTGCTAGGGTATAAAAAGACAGAGATGAGGTACGGGGAAACTGGGGTACCGAAGAGAGGTATACCTCTATGGGTGTGAGACAAAAATGAGTAAGGGGCAACTGGGGTATGAGGAGACGCTATGGGCGTGAGGCAGCAATGAGGTATGGGGCAACTGGGGTATGAAGAGACCGCTATGGGTGTGAGGCAGCAATGGGGTATGGGGCAACTGGGGTATGAAGAGACCGCTATGGGTGTGAGGCAGCAATGAGGTATGGGGCAACTGGGGTATGAAGAGACCGCTATAGATCAGAGACAGAAATGAGGCATGGGGAACTGGGGTTATTCAAGATAAAATATTTTAAAACCTGCCTATAACAAGATGGCAATTTAATAACATGTAAGTGTTCTCCCTTTCCAAGGCCCCATAATTTACGAGACCAACTGCAGTACTAAAAAATTAACTTTTTCTCTCAAACCTTTTTCTGCTCTGCGTTATATTCCTTCATCATTTGAATCACGTTAACACGAGCTGATGATTCATTATCTCCCTAAAAATTACAAAGAAATACGCAATATGGAAAAACGTAGTGAAATAAGCCAAGCAAAAATGATTACGGTAGTAATGGTGAATTAAAGCACGCAAAAATAATCATTGCTTTTCAAGCACGTTTAAAGCGGTTGAAAAAATCACTACCCGATGCATGGATAGCAATGAAAGAGTAACACGAGGGAAATCAATATGAAAGTGAATGAAAGTTTCTTCAGTCACAGAAGTCACAACTTACATTCACCCAAGGATGGTCCTTTATCTCCATAGCTGTAGATCGATGGGCTGGATCAACCTCAAGCATTCCTTCCAGAACGTTCTTGGCTGTCAAAACAAATAACATGCATGCTAAACATAATCTGTTGTTTTAAATTGATGGAGAAATTATATAGTGCAATACCTGATTCGTTAATCGTCTGCCAACACGGATGCGTGAAGTCTAAATGCCCTTGCTTAATCAATTGATACAGCTTTTCTTCTGTAGGTGCTTGGAATGGTGGTGAACCTGTTAAACTGCACGCGAAATAACGGACAATTTGCATGTTAGACTAACTTTTTGTCTTGGCGAAGAAAAGTATATTCTCGAAAAGAGCATATTAGTAGCAACTTAGGATCAAATGTGGTATAGCAACTGCCTAAATAGACAAAACACTTCTCGACGTTTCGACCTGAGGGCCTTCGTCTTACTAACTCTCCTGACTTTGTTTGAAGACGCTGCCACGCAGCCCACGCTGCTCCCTGGTTATATTGGAACATATTAGTAGCAAGTTTGACGGCGAAATGTTGTAAAATGCGAAAAATATAGGATTGTAAACTTTGCAAATTTATATACTACATGAGTGCGCATGGAAATTGTTACATCATTTAGGCCGAAATGGTAACATTTTTCGTGCTTTTGTAAGGCCATATTTTTCGCAATTTAAAACATTTCGCCGTCAGACTTAGCAATTTTACTAATTTTCTAGCCGTGCTTTTCTCCATTACTGCTTTAAATTGATAAAGTTTAAATGAACAGAGGTTTCACCTCAAAGGCAAAGTATATGGAACTATAAAACAATTAAATTCTTAGGAATAATTACTTCACTTACAGCGTAAACAAAATAACTCCAATACTCCAGATATCACATTGTCTACTGTACTCGTGTTCATCTATAACTTCTGGTGCTGCAATGAAAAAAAAACATGAAATGTGTTCGTTGAATGTGGTGTTCTAAACTCACGCAAGTGTTTGATGACGTTGAGTGGAAAACAAAATGCAAGTAAAAGAAAAACTGAATCTACAAGATCACGACTTATATTATGTTAAACTAAATCACAGGCCATGATCTGAATCGCATCATGCATGAACGGAAAAATGATAAATTGTCACACATTTTTAGTACATAATGGAAAAACAATAAAATGCGGTATAGTGCAAATGTATTTCAATTAGCCAGAAAGGCAGGTATAAAAATAATAGCCTGGGTTTTCGTACCCATATACATAGGAGTTCCACAAACACTTTGCATCATCGCTTCCCCACTGCCTTTAATATAAGACAAACCAAAATCACTGATCTAAAAAGGAATATAAAACCACGTAAGGTTCATGAAAATGAAGTATGAAGAATACGAGAACACTGCAATGATTATCTATTAATATAGTTCTTATTGGTGTCATCATATATGGCGATGTTTTGTTAAGATACTGTAACAAATGATCTACAAATACATCTAAGACCAAAGTAAGAGTGATGTAAAATGCAACTCAGGTCCTCCAGCAGCATTCTGGGGCAGTGCTCTCGCCACTAACTCATTAATCCTACCAAAGAAGGTCACACAAAGAGGTAACATTTTGAGTGTTATCATTTGTCTTTCCGCACCAAAACCACACCCAACCCTGATAACTTGTGAAGAACTTGAAGCTATAATTCCATATATTAAAAAAATTCCCCCTTGGGCGGTCTGAACATTGCAACTCTTTGTGTACATAGCCAAAGTTGCAGTTTTCCTAACCTTAATGTTGATTGGTTCATCATTGATAGGTTTGCATAATAAAATATTCTCTAACTTCAAGTCTCTATGAACAATATCTATATGACAAATAAAGATGAAAAAAAATGGTAGCATATGTACATACATTTGATAAATAATTATTATAAAATAGTAAAACAAGTATTCTAAAAAACCCAATGCTTCTCATCTTTTTGTATATATTTAATTTCATGTTTCTTTCCACTTAATAACTGAACTCTTTATTGCCTATAAATACCTATTGCAATCACTTGGCATTCTTTTTGTACTCGTGTTGACTAATATAATGATACTGTATATGGTGAGAATATTGAACTTAGCTTACCTAGATCATGTAGGTATGCAATTGCATCAGCTAACTGTCTGATGACTGTCAGAGCCTCCTATATGGTAAAAAATATTCCTTTAGCTAATAATGTAGCACAAAGATTTAGTATATTTTATATTTTAGTATATTTTATTTAGTATATTTTTAATTTGTCAAATGTCCTACTTTACTCATCAATAGGAGAAGATATTAAATTTTTCAAGGTCAAAACAATATGGGTTAAAAAATATGAGCCACAACAAATATGTAACCACTATATAATGTGTCAAAATGTTAAGTAGGTATAAATTTGGATTTTGAAAACATACTTCTTATTTAATGCAGTTCATCAATTTCTACTCATAAGTAACATTCAGTCTAACTTTATGGAATTACTTACATTTTCACTCAATGTTTTTCTTACTCGTAGAAGATCACATAATTCACCTTGGTCACATAGCTCCATAACAAGGAACATTTTCTAAAATCATGCAAGCCATACTCTTTTAAACTTACTCCCCCTAACTGCAGTTCACTCAAATGCAACCAACTCTCTTAGCCTGACATTCTACTTCAGGCAAATGATACTACCACCAATATCAGAGAGCGGTGACTTAACAAAATTTACACACTGGGATTGATTAATGCTGCACACATTAACAGCACTCTTAAGCAATGGAAAATAAAATCGTATGACAGCGAAAGACTGAAGTATCCAAGCTAATTAAGTTACATGTTACAAATCAACATTACAAATCAATTACATGTTACATACCGTAGGTGTTTCATAAACCTCATTTAAACAGACAACATGTTGGTGGTCAATCATTTTCATTATATTCACTTCTCGCTCTAACATTTTCACAGCATAACTACCAGCCTAGGTTGGTGTGAAGAGTTTCAGAATCTTATGACAACCGATAATGTAATAGTGGTAAGAAATACACAGGTGTTGAGTCAAGGGGTTAAGGGGGCTGTAGTTCAGTAGGGTAATTTGCACATTTCAAAGAGCTTCTATTTCCCAATGAGTGCACCATGTGCACCTCAACTTTTTAGCTCATCAAGCCAATCAAGCAAAGCTGCAACCTTTAATAGCCTGGAATGTTTTGTAATTCTTTTGTTTCTGGCTTTAAAATTAGTTCCAAATAAAATTAACAAAAAATATAGGTTGAAACCAAACAGGTGTAATCCAACTGAAACTAATCAAGAGTGAATGGAAATAATATTGCAATAAAACTACATATGAATTTAACATTGAGCAATATAGTTTCATAATCTTTCATAAATGAGTTCATACTATTACAGCACCTTCTCTTTATTGACAGATTTGACAGCCCACTTTATACCAGTTGTTTGACACTGAGCTTCATAAACACGTCCAAAACTTCCTCTGCCAAGCTCTTGTCTGAACTCGTACACTTTTTCAAACTCATTCTCATCCTCAAGCCGTGTGTGAGGAACATTTCTTGTTGAGCTGCCTGGTGAACCCTTTCGTGGTGAGTTCTTATACATCAGGAGTCCTCTTCAACAGACAAAATTCTAAGAATATGAATAAAAATTATATCATGATTCACAATATCTATTTTGCAATTTCTTCCAGTCAAATTCAAGTGACACACACACATATGTACAGAAGCCTGTTCAGCCTGCAGCAGACTATATTAATAACTACAATGTACCCAATAATTACATAGTGCTGAACACTAGCTATAGTTTGTTGCAAATTGTACTGCATTTTATATTGTCTTTCTCCTATATTTCTGATTTAATGATAAATATTACCACAAGAGTTTTATTTTTTTTCCTTTTAGGCAATAAATTTAACAACCTTAGCTGAAAACAAATTATAAATATAACAAAACTAATATTCATGGAACATTTGGAAATCATTACAGAAAAAATACAGTCAATTCACATGTAATAGTTAATAGAAGTAGAACACTTTTTCTATATTCACTATAATTGCATCACCAGGCTATGCTAAAATACTATCAAAATGTCTGAACTAAGAATTTAAAAAGCAGTGCAGCAAGGCAGAGCGAGCCACTCCTTGGCAGCTAGAGCAGCGAAAATATGCAATATTGGTTTAGTTAATCCCTTTGTTGTATTCCATGCCAATATTTTAGACATTCTAGGTTTTGCTAACCATAGTTTTTATAAAAACGATGACAATACAACAATATGTTTATACAAAGGGTCAAACTTCAGCAGGTCAATATATATGACATATTACCCGAAATTCTCAAACAGGACAACATAAAAATGAATTTAACACACGTTAGAGAAGTATATTTGAAAGACTTTTTAAACATTGACCACGAAACTAAGCTTTCTTTAAAAAATACAGCTGTTTAAATAATAAACAAAGTAAAAACAAATGAGAAACGTTCACAAACCTAGTTGAATCACTTGAATCAGTTGAATGCAAATGACATAATTTTTGACACCTACCTTCAACGGCTCAAGAAGCCTTAAGAAGCGTTTAAAGACATTTTCTGTACTGTCGTAAGAAATATCAGGCAGTATCCATATCACATCATCTCTTTGAAAACGTTATTTTTTATTAAATTACCTAAAATCCATTCAAAAAAATGGTTTTTAGTCAGAAGACGATATATGTAAATAAATATATGCAAGTTGCCATGCAAGCGCCAAGCAACACGAAGATGACAAACATTCGACAAATTATACCAGAAAAAAATGTCGTAAACCAGCCTCCTCCGCAGGCATCTCTTGTTTATATTAGGCATTTATATTTGGATTAGCTGTGTCGGGGAAGGCGATGAATAAAGTTGGACCACTGAATGGGATAACCCAAGCCAAATATAAATGCCTAATATAAATACATAAAAGAGATGCCTGCGGAAGAGGCTAGTCGTAAAGAGGGATTTTGTAGTGGTCCAGACTCCAGTGGCTTGGTCACTTCCGACGGTAGGTAGGTATCCAGTAAATCTCGTGCCCCAGATACTCGAAAAAACTGAATTATCATTTCCTTCATTTCATATAACTTTAGCACATAAAAATTTTGAGTAATTCTATTTTTTCTTTGCGGAAACGCGTTCGCTTTTCAGTCAATTGCAAATTACCTATAGTACACTAATTTCTCCTGGTAAAAAGCACGGGGACAAATGAACCACTTAATCCCTTGCTTTCACTTGCAACTTTTAGTCCCAGTAGCGTGTTGGTGTCGAATAGAATAGACTTCATGAATAGAAAGGTTCAATTCAAATTGTACTACAACACTGGCGACTTTAGAGCAACGCAGTAACCGGTGGATAGCGGCATCCGCCCTCCGTACAACCGGCTCCTATAGGCCTATACAGGGTGTATCAAAAAAAAGGTAATCCAACTTTGGTGCGCTATTGTACGTGAACTACTCATTCTATTAACGAATTTTTTTTCACATTCCGAAAGGTTATGCTTTTAACTATCGAATGACATGTTTTTGATACCAAATGGTGAAAAAATGAGCAAATAGGAGGCTGATAAAAAGTGTTAGTCGAAATCGCATATTTTCACCTCTGAGAGTTGGGACTGAAACCATTGAAAATTAACTCTCTTTGGGACTTAATTGAAGAATTTTGCTTTTGAATAAACTACCCGCATATGCATATTAAGTAGGAATAAGGAGAACATTCCAAGCAATGCGGCATAAAACCGGTGCAAGCTGTGACATGTTCATGATTAATTGTTTTTTTCTTTTGTTATGCACTGCTTTAATTAGGCTCAAAGGTGAAAATATGCGATTGCGACTAACATTTTTTATCAGCCTCGTATGTGCTCACTTTTTCACCATTTGGTATTAAAAACATGTCACCCGATAGTGAAAAGCCTGATCTTTCTGAATATGAAAAAAATTCGCTCATACACTGAGTAGTTCACGTACAATAGCTTGTTGAAGTTGGATTACCTTTTTTTTGATACACCCTGTAGTTCAATTGAAAAAAAAGGGAAAGAATCATTTTAGTATCCTGACCATATTTTAATAGCTATTCAATAATAGAAATGATCAGCAGTCACAAAATAAGCAAAAAAAAAGCAAAAAAAAATTGTTCTTTTGAAAGACAAAAAAAAAACATTTTAATCAAACAAGAATCGGAACAGTCACATAGACAACTCCAATAATAGTCGAGGCTTTCATGCATATTCATTTAGTTTGAAATAGATCGTCTTTGTGAATGAGGTACCAGAGTATATGAATAAACCCTATTCCTAATTGTCGAGCTGAAACTTTGGACAGCGTAATTGTGAGGATGTCGTATATATAACGTGTTAACTAAAGCCAAGCACACACGACGCGATTTTTGTCGTACGATTTCAGTCGACCGACTTTAATAGGCAAATATCAACCTCTTTTGATGTATTCCGATTACAGTCTGCCGACTAAAATCGCTTAAAAATGACATCGCACACGCAAGGATTTAGTCGGCCGATTAAAATAGCACGACAAAAATCTTTCAGTGCATTTTGAGTTTTCAGAAGCATATAAATTAAATTCTGGAAGTAAAATTTGGAAACTATGGACGCTAGAGCAGTCAAAAATGTTTTGTTGTTATGTAATCTACAAGAATATTATGATAGTTTAAAATTTATTTGATTTTGAAAAATTAGAAACGTTGAAAATTTGCGCCGCGTTGCCAATTCACGTCCGGTCTGTGTCGACCTTAAGGGGCACGTTTTATGAACGCTCTGAAGCGGCGCATTCATCTACTAGCAATTTTAAATAACTTATTATGACATTAGCAATTTGACATGCATTTATCTCCAAAACTACTATTAGACTATTAGAAGCCATTTAACTTTCATGCTTTGTAGATTTCTTTGTATTGCATCATTTGCATGTTCTCGGGAAGTCCCCGGGCAGACCTCAGGCAGCCCTGGGCAGTAGGAGGCGAAGACTGTCATATCCCATTCCGAGCAAGAACGTTACGATGGATGACTTTATACGAAATTTTGCAATCACAGGTGAAGTCAGATCCCTTCTGGCGCCGTTATGGTTGCACCTACTCCATCAAAACGAAGATGGAGATACGTAAGTACTTTATTATCTAACTTTAATATGTAAAAAAGTTATCTACACGCGCCTAAATAGATGGGAAAATCTCATCTGTGTGAAGTTTGAAAATTTTGTGATCAACAATTAATAGATGCAGAGTACTTAGCTATGATGGAAATTAATATCTCCGTATAGTGATCAAGAGGAGAGGAAGCTTGTTTACATAAAATACGTAAATTGTTTTCACGACTTCACTATTCAATTCTTACGCATATTCCAGGAATGCAAAATATCAAATGGAAACAATTAATTATGTTTTCTCAATTTCCCGTCGATAAACATGCTTTATACCTAAAATGACATCCTTTGCGACAGTAACGTATCATCCAGACAATTTAGCCGCTATGCTCATGTTCATTTAATCTGAAAACAATCCGTTTTCAAAATGAAAAATGAAAATATGTTATAATTTGCACCCGTTACACGGTGCATTTTTATGTTGCAATACAATCCTACTTTTAAGACATGTAAATTAGTCCAGAGTATTCAAAATGTAAGTTGGAAGAAATGAAAGAAATGTATGAAGTGCATGGTAATAAACATAAAAATTTCGTTGCCAAATTTGCCAAATTTACACCTATCAAAAATAGAATTGGATTGCAAGTTGCATTGCACCGTGTAACAGGGCCTTTATAAATCGTCAGCCTAAGTCTGCGACTCCGCCACGATACCACTGTCCGCAGCTTTGCGTACAAATTTTGGTAAAAATGGAGAAAGAATGCCTTAGAATGGAAAAAAAATTAAAAAATAAAAGCGCAAACACAAATATCGCACGCTAAAACACCTAATTTGCTAAATTTATATAGTTAAATTGTTACATTGATAATCGATGGAACAGAATCTGCATCCTTTTATGGCTTTTTGACAGTTGCATTGATTTTGTGGTCCAATGTCAATATTTTCTTAAAGAATTCCACAATTTCTTATTATAGTATCACATTTGGTTCTCTCAATCACCATACAAAAAAATGTATTCAATTCCTAAATAAATTGCAATTAGGTATATTCAATGAATTACTGATTGCTAATTGCTTTACTAATTTTGTTCTAGATGTCTCCACTTGGCAATTATAAACTGCAATGAGCAAGTTGTTTCAGCCATATTGGATATCATACCAAAACCAGAATGCCTTGATATTTATAATGACCTTACCCAAACCCCATTACATTTGGCTGTGATAACAAGACAAGATAGAATTGTAGAAAGACTGGTAGATCATGGAGCTAATGTTGAGTTGGTTGACAGAAATGGACAAACATGCATACATCTTGCATGTCAGCAAGGCGATCTTAAATCACTTCGAGCAATTTTCAAACAAAGGCCTTCAAAACCTGAATTAACAAAAAAATTGCCCGAAATTTTAGAAACAAGGAATTTTGATGGTAATTAGATCATTAATGATTGTTTTCATTTGGGCTTTGATTTATAGCATGGGGCAAGTAAAGATGACAGAAACATATGATATCATTTAGGACTGACCCCTCTTTGTATTGCTGTGAAAGCAAATCATGTTGAAATTGTAAAAGAACTAATCATGCTTGATGTAGATGTGAATGCAATTGTAAGTATCACTTCTGTGCCTTTAGTAAAGTTTGTCATGTGTTATATATCTACCAGGTATATTTATTGTTTTTCAGTTCATTTTAAATTGTAGGTATGCTTATTTCTAAAACACATTTTTCATCTGTTCTTAGGACACTAAAAGTGGTAATACTGCTTTACATTTAGCAGTAGAAGGTAATAATCTGGCCATGCTTGCTTGCTTGTTATTCAAAGGAAAGTCAAACCCTAATGCAATGTCCTACAATGGTAGCACACCGCTGCATATTGCTGCTGGTTTAAAACTTCATCCAATTATTGCAACACTAGTAGCAGCTGGTGCAGATGTCTGTATCACAAATGCAGAAGGAGATACAGCTTTCAACATGGAAAGTGTAAATTGCACTAATTTGCCTGTAAAAGGTTTTCAAACCACCAAGGAAACTTTTAACTTGTCAGATAAGGAGGAAGAAATGGAATAACTGGAAGCAAGCAAACCTTGAAGTGGACCATTCTGGAATTGTTTTTCTACAATTTTACGTTGGGTGAATAAAAATCTAATTCAGTTCTGATCATAAGTCTCAAGAACATAATGTGAACATCACAATGTCTACTTTGTTTTGATTTTCATTTATCTGGGACAAAAATTGTTTTGTTTTCATTGGCAAAAATAGTCAAAATCATATTTTAGTAATTATTTATCGATCTGTTTAAAATTTGATATTGTTTTATTTGTAATAATTTGAGTTGGTTTAACTAATAACAATAGTTCATTACAGTTGAATTTTGATTAAACAATCACTCAAAGACTGAATTTTAACCACTTTATTATTTTATTGATCTGTCAGATATATTTTTCAAAAACATCTCCTCATAAAATCCCTGTGTTATGATATACAATCCCTGTGTTATGATATACAATTAGTATACTAGCTGATTGGCCAATGCATGCACCCAATTGGTTAAAGTTCCCCCTCTACTTAGTATGACATCACATGAAAGGGTTTATATCATGGTATATATGGTGTTAACCTGCATGCAAGCATGATAAGCAATCTGTTTTTATCATTTGGGAAGCATGCATGCATGGTGCTGATTTGAAACCTACACATGTACATGCACACAAAATATATATTATATGAAATTTTTTTTAATATTGCTCACTTCCATATACAAGGTTTTATTTTCACTCTTGGGTACCAGCATTCTCTGAATTGATGCACATGGCAGAGGTATAGTTGACCAAGAGGACCTTAAAAATAATTAGAATGTATCATATAAGTACAACACCATATAATAGGTAACTGTGTTTCTAGCTTTTAGCAGGCCGACAGAAATTGGTGAAAACAAAAGAGTAAAACTTGAAATTCATTTCATTTTTTAAGGTGGTTCTAAATTTAAAATGTTGTGATGTTAAAATGTTGTGATGTAATTACCAAAAAGGTCTATTGTAATCCAGGTATATTATTTGTTTGTCAGTAATTGTTCTTTGTATTGAAAATTGTCTTTCTCTGAGCTTTCGACTTGATACTTACATATTCATAGTGCATATATGATGTGTATATAAACAATTTAAGCTAGGACTCTAACAATAATCATGTTCTGTAACAAATATTAAATAACTTTTGTGTTAATCCATCCACATCTAACACACAACAATCAAATCGTACCATAGCAACTATCCTTGAGAACAAAATGCAATCAACTATGACAATACATGCTGCAACCACCACTCATATCAGATTCTCATTGAAACCACCAATCAGACACTCTCAGCTTATACAAAGTCTTAAAGAACAGTATGAAACTTAAATATATAATAGCTACACATCATGCGCATATTCTTTATCATCTACTACAGTCTGTTTCATCTGTATGGGAATTTTCAGAACCACCTGAAGATTCCTATATGAATGAAACAGACTGTAGTGGACAATAAGTATCACTCTCACTGTACAATGGTACAGTCATTTATCAGTTGTCACACTAATAGTTAGCCAGCCATACCTTACGCCCACTTTTTACTAAAGTCAACAACACCATACTTCCGACATAATTCATCATAATATGATACCATATCATATGTCCTATAATCCTCAGTCAATTCTTCGCCTATATTAACATCTCTCGTTGTATAGTCATAACCATCCTCCTTAGTAACCACATTAGGATCATTAGAATGATTGACCATCATAGTATCTAATTCAGCCAGATCAATTCTCATCAAACCATCCAAACAATAAATATGTTCCAACCACCATCGTCGTTGTTGATCATTAGGAACAGCTTCGAAGAATACATACGCTTCTTCTCTTGTGAAAGTCATATGTACGCGGTCGGTATCTATTCGCGTACCTGCCCGTAGAAACTCAGCTGCAAATACACCAATACCAGCACCGTTGGCGCACATTTTAAGATCAGCCTTTATACTAAAGCCTTCAGCCGGTCGTGGAAGATTTTTAAGGCTGGCTAAGTAATCTCTTAATATATTTCCCTTTGCTAATTTCAAAAGATTATCAAGTTTAATGTCATCTTCCTTGTGTTTTTTTTTCGACATTGTATTAACCACGTCCACGTTGTCCCAGCAGGGAGCGGTTGTTCGAAGCTAGGTTGTCTGAGTTATCGCTAACCCTGGGTTAAATTCTAATCCGCTGTTTAAATTCGTTTCAATTTCAAAACTTTACAAAATATGACTTCTTTTGATCCAGAAAATACTCATGGTAAAAATATTCAAATCTTATTAACCCAACTTTGAACAGCAAAGCTTCGAAACACAGCGCATATATTATAAGTGCCCTGGGACCGGTTATTCAAAGTTATTCAATATTCAAAAGCCGGTTAACGCTAACCCCCATGCGCTAACCCAGGGTTAAAAATGCTTAAACCCAGGGTTAAATTCTAAACCTCGGTTGACTTGCGTTGCACCATGCATAGTTAAAAGACTAAATTTGATTTTATTGTGATTTTATTATCCATGGTTGCACAAAGCCCGGTTAGCGTTATCTCTTGGTTAAAATTAATAATTATCTGAGAATATTTATCTGAGAATTTACCATTCGTCGTAAATGGAACAAAAGCCCGCTGTGAGTGTTCGGATTTTTAATGAACCAACTTAAATCAGTAGCGTAGCCAGCCGGACAATTTAGTCATGCTATGCTAATATTTTGGTGTTCATGAAAACAATGAATTTCTAAAGAAATGAATAATGATAACATAAAATTTGCATACCATGACTAAATCGTCAGGCTGGCAGCTGGCTACGCCAGAGGGGTAAGTTCGAACCTATGAATTAAACACTTTTCAAAGGTTTTACGAACAGTTTCGGACAGCAAAGAATTATTTAAGTTTGACTTCATTCTGTTTCAGCTAGTGTTTCAGCTGATGTATTGATTTATTTATCTTCGCTTCAATGTAATACAGCCAATACATGATAAATATAACAACCGTACAAATTGGAACATTGTAATCGAAATATTTGTTTCGGATGCCATTGTATCAGGTATCTTAGCTGATCATTGTACTTCAAACTTCAACTGAATCTCGATTCTCTCTCTTGACTACCTTTGTTTCTGAATTTAATAATCAAACATTGCCTGAAATTCTAAAATTGATTGAATGTTTTAAGTTGCTTAATTTTATTTCACATCGTTTAACATACAAAATGGCCTTTCATCTCGAAGCTTTCAAAAATTCCATGCACGGAAATTGCAGTTCAATACTGTTAGTCTGTTACTGCTCTCACGGCTTATAATTTTTCGATTGACAATATTTCCTCATCGGTTAAAATTTTGACGCTCGTTCCGGGCCTCCGGCATTGACCAATCGAAAGCGTTAGTCCTTAAAATACATTTAATCCTAGGTTAAATATTTTAACCCTGGGTTAACTCACCCTACGCTAACCCTGCTTTGAACAACAGTTTTAATCCAGGTTTAACTAACCACGGGCCGGTTGTTCGAAAGGCATTTAGCTTTAAACAGTGGATAAGCCAAAGTTTAAAAATACTCTCATACATCTTGTAAATGACTGAACCTACATCTTATTGTGCATTAAATATATACCTTCATTGACACATAAACTATTTACATCGAAATAGTTTGGCTCAGTTGTTCAAAAAATGAATAATTTTGTTTTTCATTTTGAACTTATCCACTTTAAACGTCTTTCGAACAACCGGCCCCTGGGGTTAAGGGCTAAGGACCCAGGTTTAGCACTAACCCAGGACCCAGTAACATCCCTCAAAATTATAATTGCATGTGAATATGAGAATACCGCTAGTGACAACGTTGAATTATTGAACGGCAAATTGTTTATAATAAAAATTATTCTCTTCTTCGGGCGCGGGAAAATCGAGTCTAGGCCACCTACACCGTCGCATACCTTATAGTAAATTTCAGGCCAGTGTGAACGCCTAAGCAGGCGTTTTGTTTCTTATCAATTAATAATATTAGAAATAATGTAAGGTTGCGATCGGTTCGCAGTTCATTCATCCCAGGTACGTTTCCTAAATCTAGCCTGGTGACCACTCCTGTCTGCTCAGTTACTCATTTCAATTTCGCAAAAAAATCTTCTAGGGACCGAACATATGTGAAAACATACTTCAAAGAACATGTTGTAAGCCTAGTATTATTCTCGTATTCCGATTGGATTCATCATTCATTGATTCCTCAAAGATTCATTACAATTCTACCTCATCACCAGCTGCGCTTAGCGATCACGTGAGAAGCACAGCGATCACGCAACTTAGTCAGTGCATTAACGATCCTTGTAGCCCTCGAAAGTTTCTAAAATCTACATTAACGTTGAATATCGATAAAAACTTAGGTACTTCTAGTAATTTTCCAGAAGTATCACCACTCAATGCTGGTCAGGGGAGCCGTGTAATCACGCTCTCAGACACTAATAGCGTTCTCTTGGCAGCCATGCAAGAAATGCTTAAAACTATTTGTTGAAGTCCGTTGATCAACTTGAGCGACCGATGGACGACTCTATAGATGAATCGCTGCTTGACGACGATTCCGCGGACGGGGAACAAGCACCGAAACAGCCGTGTTTAGACGCTTCGGTTACTTAATTGCTCTCGTCTGCGAATATGCCAGCGATGCATGGTGGCGAAAATGGTCAAGGCTCCACACAGAGCGACACGCCATCATGTTGTCTTCTCGAAAACATCGCGCAAGAGCTTCAAATGGAGGCACCTTGTGCACCTCTTGAGGAGGCACCTTGTGCTTTTAGATTTCTCAAGACGAGCAGACGTGTGTTGTAGACGAGCAATTGGAGATAAAATTTGGTGACAATATACGAACAGCCATGACGAACAACACCACAAAGCAAAGTGTACTGCACAATCTATCGGTCAACGATAAAGACAAGCTTATTTGGTCGGGTTCATTTGATGCTCTACAACAATTTGTCGAAGATGTGCTAGATTTATCTGGTGGAAAATGGTCTTCTCCTGGGGGAGACGCGAAGGCATACGAATGTGAAGAGGTATCAATCCGATGGTATCCGAAAACAAAGTCGATTACAGTTAGCGGGAAGGACAAAGACCAGATCGAAGAAAAGCTAAACTCTGTCGCTTCAATATCAAAGCGACTACCTGCAGTAAATATTAATCCTGCAAATGATGAATACTTAAATAATCAGCTGCAAGATCTAAAGAAGGAATTTATCGA